AAATTTGTGCTCATATGTCAAGAACTACATGAACAAAAATAATATTATTACATTTATTTCTATGGAAGTAATTTGATAACATTTATTCTTTATTCTTTTGGTCGAATACACAGTGAATACACAGCACAGATGAATCCTTACTCATCTACAAATGATTTGGGGAAATAACCTGTCCTTTTCTCTCTTTTTCTGTGGTATTGGCAATACAACAATCTTCCCCAACCTTCTGCCTTTCAGAAGAGCTATACCACTGGTTGCTATTAGCTGCAAAATTCAATAGACGAGAATATGTGCTTTAATTTTTAAAATCTGTGCATTTCTAAGTATTATGGCTCTCAGCATATTTTAAAGGATATGATCAAGCAAGAAAAATCAAATGCACAGGTACAGTACAGGTGGTACCTCGCTCAATAATAGTACCTGTGAGAGGGATCTTGGAGTCCTAGTGGACAGTCATTTAAATATGAGCTAGCAGTGTGCTACAGCTGCCAAAAAAGCCAACACAGTCCTAGGCTGCATAAACAGAGGGATAGAATCAAGATCACGTGAAGTGTTAATACCACTTTATAATGCCTTGGTAAGGCCACGCTTGGAATACTGCATTCAGTTTTGGTCATCACAATGTAAAAAAGATGCTGGGACTCTAGAAAGAGTGCAGAGAAGAGCACAAAGATGATTGGGGGACTGGAGGCTAAAACATATAAAGAACAGTTGCTGGAATTGGGTAAGTCTAGTTTAATGAAAAGGACTAGGGGTGACATGATAGCAGTGTTCCGATATCTCAGGGGTTTCCACAAAGAAGAGGGTTTCAAGCTATCCTCCAAAGCAGCTGAGGGCAGGACAAGAAGCAATGGGTGGAAATTAATCAAGGAAAAAAGCAACCTAGAACGAAGGAGAAATTTCCTGAGGGAATTAATGTGGAACAACTTGCTTCCAGAAGTTGTGAATTCTCCAACACTGGAAGTTTTTAAGAAGAGATTGGCATGGGCAACCATTTGTCTGAAATGGTATAGGCAGAGGTGGGGTTCAAATTTCTTAGCAACTGGTTCTGTGGGTGTGGCCTAATTTATGGATTTGGCTTGGTGGTCATGTGACTGGGTGGGTGTGGCTTGCTGACTGGGCATGGCTTGATGGTCACGTGACTGGCTGGCGTGGCTTGTGTATAAATATTGTAAATATTTATGTAAATATTGAATTTTTTTATTAAAAAAGAGCAACTTTTACCCAAAAGCAGGCAAAGCAGACAGGCAGATTGAGTTGCTCACAGAATCACAGATTCACTCAGAGATCTACCATTCTGCAATCTCCTACCTGAGTCTGCACTGAAAAATAGAAGCTTCAGTCCTAAGGAAGGTTCAGCTCTGCTTTCAAGGTTTCCTGTTTTCTAGCTAAACTAAATCTCCCAGCACATCTGATAGTCGGAAGAGCTGATGGTCGGGAAAAAAGAAAAATAGCAAATTACCAAAAATTAGGTGAAGGCACAACACAGGCAAGTTGGATGGTGTGCATGCCAGTTAAAGAGTAGGTGGGTGGGGTGGGGTGGGGAGGGGAGGGACCAGCCAGTGGCAGGATTTCCTGGTTCTCCGAACCGCGCAGAATCATAACAACCAGTTCTATAGAACTGGTCTGACCAGGTAGAATCCCACCCCTGGGTATAGGGTTTCCTGCCTGAGCAGAGGTTGGACTAGAAGACCTCCATGATCCCTTCCAACTCTGTTATTCTATTCTATCTATGCCCATTAATTTTACAAAAGACCAGAAGATTGGGGGTTAAAATGCGGCCACATCCCGAGATTTATTTGTCTTAAGTGTTCCCTATCACATATAAGTCTCTAGTCTTATGGCAGTGAAAAAGGTTGTCTTTAGAGAAATTAAAAGCCAGGGTGAATCTTGAGACAATTGGTTTTTTTAAAATAAACTTTATTAATTTTACAATTAAAACAAACAACACGTACATAAATGTGA